GTAAATTCAAAAGGACATATTATAAAGTTGTATTTCAAAGGATTTATGGTTACCTTTGCAAGAGTTTGATTTAATTTCGTAGCAATTTGGGGATTTTGGACAAAAGGGGTCAATTTGGTCAAATTGGGCTCAATTTAGTGGTTCAATTTGATTTTACGGACATTTGGAGTGATTTTGGAGATTTTATGAATTTTTAAAAATTTTGGGGTATGAAGGATATTTTGGTAATTTGGGAGATTTTGAGGGTATTTTGGGATTTTTAAAAAATTTGAGGTATTTTGGTCAATTTGAGTGATTTGGAATGGGTTGAAATGATTTTTGAAGAGATTTTGAGAATTTGGCTAATTTTGTGAATTTTTGGAAAATCTAGGGTTTAGGGACAATTTGATAATTTGGTGAAGTTTGGGACCAAGAAGGGTCAAAATTGGGAATTTGGTAAAATTGGGATTGATTGAGGGTTTTAATCATGAGGTCACCCTATTTGAGTCATGAGACCAAGGGAACTCCCATTATGGATCCTCCATGTGCTGGTCTTAGCTAAACCCTAACCTATGGCTAATGGTTTAGGGGACCATCCACATGATTTTATGATAGAGTAAGGGATCGAGCTAGACATGTTTGGGATAGGTTTTAGGTTGTGAGTGCAGGTGCAAGTGGGTGTGTGCAAGGCTAACCAAGACTACACCACCTAGGGCTAACCCTAAGGCCAAACAGTCTTATGAGGACTCCTCTTGAGCTCCCTCATATTGGTCCTGCCTACTAAGTGCTAAAGATTATAATTAACATGTGGAACTTCAAGATGAGCAAGTAAGAGTTTAGAATTTCTATTAGTGAAGGTGTCATCACTAGTCCTTTAGTAATAGTTAACAGAAAAGTCTTATGGCTAGATCCTAGACTTCTTTCGAAGAAAGACTAGACCTCAAAAAAAATTGAGGTCAACAGTACAATGATGTTGTAGTGAAGAAAATAATACATAAAATCATTAAACAACATATAATTAAAATTAAAATGGTTTTAAAATATATAATTAAAATGCCAAAGCTAATTATATGTTCATAGATGGAGTCTAGTGAGTAGAATTATATTGCATTAAAAAAGTATGAAAAAAATAGAGGTTCCACTGAAAAAACATAAAAAAAAATTCGAATAACTCAAAAAAGTAATTTATATCAGCTACGTGTAAATTTAAATAAAATATAACATGTTTGGGCAATACATTATGATAAAAAATTTAAAGCCGAGATAAGATGTAGCCTACAACTTGATTGTACTCAAGAAAAATATGAATTACAAGCATGCTGTAGTGAAGGAGATAATATTTAAAATCCCTAAGCAGCATATAATGAAGACTAAATAGGTTCAAAAATACACAATTAGAATGTCAAAGCAAAATTGTGTGGTCATAAACTATGTCCAATTACCAGAATAATGTTGTATTCAAGAAATTAATGGAGAAATAATGGTTGTAAGAAAGTAAAATGGCTTCCAAATTACTCAAAAATGCAATTAATGTTAAATGAATAATTTTCAAACCAATATATAGTAATTTTGGGAAACAAATAATGATAAATAATGTAAACCCAAGATAAATTGTGGACTACAACAGTGTTGCGCTCAAAGAAAATAAAAAATACAACCATATTGTAGTGAAGAAAATAGTATGTAAAATTCATAAACAACATATAACAAAGACTGCATTGGTGTTATATTCAAGAGAAAAATGAAGAAACAATGGTTTTATTGGAGGAAAAAACTTCAAAAATTCGTAAAAAAGTAATTAACATAAGATACAATTTTTTTAATATAAAACAATAAGTTTAGGCAACAAATTATGATAAAACAATTAAATCCAAGATAAATTATGGACTGCAGCATGGTGTACTCAAGGAAAAAAGAAGTACAATCATGTTGTAGTGAAGAAGATTGTATGTAAAATTGATCAATATCATATTATGAAGACTAATTAGGTTCTAAAATATAAAATTAAAATGTGTATTAGATTATATGTTCTTAGACTGAGTTTAGTGAGCAGAACAATATTCTATTAAGAAAATAGGAAGAAACAATGGTTGAATTGAAGAGAAGAAGGCTTCCAAATTATAGAAAAAATGATTAATATCACATAAATGTATTTTTAATATGAAACATTATGTTTGGGCAACACATTACGATCATAAATTTAAACCAAAAATAAATTGTGAACAACAACATAGTTGCTCTCAAGGAAAATAAGAAGCAAAACCATGTTTTAGTGAAGGAAATAGTATGTAGTTTCTAAATAGCATATAATGAAGACTAAATAAGTTCTAAAACAAAAAATTAGAATTTTAGCTCTAAATTATATAATCATAAACCGAGTCCAGTGAGCAAAACAACAATATGTTCAATAAAAAATGAAGAAATATTGACTATACTAAAGAAAAAGACTTCCAAATTACATAAAAATCAATTAATATCAGATACATATGTTCTTAACGCAAAATAATCAGTTTGAGCAACACATTGTGATCAGGAATTTATACCAAACATAATTTGTAAACTATAACATAATTGTATTCAAGAAAAATAAGATGTACAATCATGTTATTGTGAAGAAAATAATATGTAAAATTCTTAAACATCATTTAATGAGATTATATAAGTTCTAAAATATAAAATTGAAATGTCAGGGCTAAATTATATGTTCATAGACTGAGTTCAATGAGCAGAACAATGCTATATTCAAGAAAAAAAAGGAAGAAATAATGGTTTCACTAAGAAAAGGGCTTGCAAATTACACAAAAATCAATTAATATTAGCTACATGTATTTTTAACTCAAAATTTGGGCAACATGTTATGACGAGAAATTTAAAACAAAGATAAATTGTCGACTATAAAATGATTGTACTCAAGAAAAATAAGAAATATGTAACGCCGATTTATAGAGAAGAATATCATTTCGTGAAAATTATATTACTTTAAGAATCAATGTCGACTTACAAATGAAGATTTGTAGAGGTGAATGTTATTTTTTGTAAAAATATTACGTCCAGAATAAATATGGAGTTTCTATTGGAGATTTGTAGAAGACAATGTCTGTGACAATTCCAAAGCAAGCAGAACATCCAAACCTTAAAAATAGAATGCAAGTGACAGTGAGAAATACTAGCACTAGAAGCCAAAACTATAAAAATGGAATTTGAAACTTGCAATGAACATTTTAAAATAATTGTAAGGCCATAGGGCCATATTAATAAATGTATTACAACCACATGTCAAATTCAGATTGGAGTCATGATGGCTACATCTGAACTCTAGACGTAATAATTCTGGATGTAATATCTTCTACTCCTTAAGATATTAGACTTATTGTGAATATTAAAACATAATATATTTCTTCCTTAAGGAATTGATACAGTCTTCAAATAATATATATTTTTTTAATTATCCAAATGTTGATTTTACAAACCATTTTTATTAGATTTAAAATTTATAACTAAATAATAATAATAGTTTATATATTTACATAAATATCCTTTATTATACTTTTTTTTGTAATATTAGAGTATCCAAAATACATTAATTAGAATGTTGTTTTTTTCCTCATTTCTTTAACCCATTAACCTTAGTGTAGAGAGAAAGTAAGAAAAAAAGTGAAGCTTAGTGAGAAATTTCATTTTGAAAGTCATAGAGCTAATTTTATCAGTCGGGCTAGTTGTAAAAACTATCCGGCTCATGATGGTCTATGATTACTCTATTTCAAATTTTAATCTTATTATTTTCAAAGTTCAAGCATTTTATTTAGTTGAATTTCAAATAAACTCAAATCTAGGAAGAATTCTAAACTTCTCATTGCAAAAGTTTAAATGTGTGAGATAATATTTTGCAGTGGTTATAATAATATAGAAAAGTTAATCATTCATTGAGTATGTTATAATGTATATTATTTGATGTATTTTAGCAAGTACATTGAACATGATAAAATTTGCTATATAACAAGAAACATTTCCAAATGTTAATGTGGACGTTGCATGTAAACAACTATACTTTAAAATCTATAATTGTTGATTTGTATATATTAATTTATCACATAGATTTTACAGTTAGTGAAGTAAACTCCTATTTATAGATATTTGTAGTATATTTGTTGATATTCATATATGTTATTAATAATGATATTTTCATGCTTATATATCAAAAGTACATATAAAAAAAAATAGGAAAAATAAACAAGTGCATGTGATTGGATGATTGTATTTTATGTGGATCAAGAAGAGTTATAAAATTATTCATTTGTGTGTTTGATACATCTAAACAAATGTAAATAAATAAAGTTATAAGTGAAAACCAAGATATCAAATCCTAGATGTTATGAGGTTAAACTTAAATAAGGTATATATAACACCCTTAATCTATAGCTTATTTTAGAGGAAGAACAAAATGATAATAAATAAAATATTTTTACTATGTGTGTAAACAAGCCGAGCTTAAGTGAACCCAGGCTCGACTCGTATTTCGCTCATTAAAAAATATCACTATTCTTGTTCGGCTTGTTTATATATCGAGCTCAAAAAATTTATTCATGTTTTGCTCGTTCGGCTGTTTGTGAATAATGAGCCGGTTTGACAGTCCTAGTCATGCACTTGTAGGATGTTAAGGATAAATGCGAGAATTAAATCTTATTATTTATATTAAATTATTCATTTACATAAAATTTATTATATTTCATCCTATTTTTTAATTGATAATATTATATATATACTATATATATATATATATAATTTTTTCGAGCCAGAAAGAGTCGAACACGAATGAACAAATCTTTGTTGGTGTTCGGCTTGCTTATTTTATATATCAAGTGCAAAATAATTGTTTGTATTTGACTTATTTGTATAGAGAATGAATCAAATATAAACTACTTAAGGAGCCGGATATGAACTCTTCATCAACAGCAGTATTTTCATTTTTTACCACAAGCTCAATGGAGTTTGACTTCTATCTTTCAAACAACATTGTCAAGTTAAATTAGCGAGGAAATGTAATTCCTGTTATCTTAAATGGCATCTTTCTTACGAGACCAAGCATATCCAAATTAGCCAGGAAGCCGTCTAAACCTGCAACTCCATTGTTTCTTCGGAAGCGCTGTTTTGCTGCTCTTTTCGGGTCCAAAACCTGAACCGCAATGCAAGCATGTCGCTGACGCCGTGTTTCTTCTTTGTCCGTCGACAAAGCTCGGCCTACATGGCCGCCGCTCTTCAGAGCATTATCGATTCCAGCTCTCCGTCCCGAGGACAACCCATCCATGCCTACATCATTAAATACGGGCTCCCTCCCAACACTAGCGTCTCCATCAAGCTTCTCATTCTTCACTTGAGATGCGGTTCCTTGAATAATGCTCGCAAAGTGTTCGATGATATGACGAAGCCGACGCTCTCGGCCTTCAACTACTTAATTTCTGGGTATTTGAGAGCTGGAATTACTGGGGAGTGCCTGAAACTTGCTAGAAAACTGGCATTTTCCGGAGAGAAGCTTGACGGTTTCACATTATCTATGGTTCTGAGACTGTCCGCATCTATTGTTTCATTTAATCTTGCAAAACAGACTCATGCCCAGATTATTAAATCTGAATTTGGGTACGATGACTTCCTCTTTGCAGCTTTGATTGATTCCTATGTGAAGAACGGGATGATTAGGTATGCTAGAAGCACCTTTCTTGCATTGCCAAATAGGAGTCTCGTTTGTTCCACTGCATTGATCGTAGGCTACATGAGCCAGAATTCTTTCAGAGATGCTGAAGAGTTGTTTCGATGCCTAGTCAATAAGGATGATGTTGTCTATAATGCTATGATTGAAGGTTACAGCAAAATCGTGGAAACAGCTTCGAAATCGTTTGAAGTTTATAAGGAAATGAGATTTGAAGACTATAAGCTGACGATTTCTACTTTTGTAAGTGTGATTGGAGCTTGCTCACTCTTATCGGCGGTTGAGGTTGGGCAGCAGTTACATTGCCAAATCATCAAGAGCTGCATATACTGTCATGTCAAAGCTGGGAGTGCGCTCATAGACATGTATAGCAAGTGTGGAGCGGTGGAGGATGCTAGGAAGATCTTTGACAACATGTCGGAGAAGAACGTCTTCTCCTGGACTTCGATGATTGATGGCTATGGAAAGAATGGAATATCAGATAAGGCTATTAAGCTTTTTAACGAGATGAGGACTTGTTCATATGTGAAGCCCAATCATGCTACTTTTCTTAGTGCTCTATCAGCTTGCGGGCATGCAGGGTTGGTGTCAGATGGCAAGGAGATATTTGAGAGGATGGAGAAGGATCATGGTTTGAAACCCAGAATGGAGCATTATGCTTGCATGGTAGATCTATTGGGGAGAGCTGACCGTCTTCTTGAAGCTCATGATTTCATCAAAAGAATTCCTGAGAAACCAAATTCTGATGTTTGGGGTGCCTTGCTTGGGGCAAGCAGGGTTCATGGTCATGTGGCCATGGCAGATATCGCTGCTGTGGAGCTATTCAAGTTATGCAGAAGCGAGAGGCCAGGGGCTTATATTGCTTTGTCTAATACGTTTGCTGCAGCTGGGAGATGGGATGGCGTTTGTAGAGTAAGGGAGCTGATGAAGGAGAGAATGGTCTCTAAAAATGCCGGATATAGTTGGGTTGACTCAGAAGAAGTTTTGCATAGCTTCCGCTCTAGCCAGTGAAATGGAAAATCCAGTTGATGGGCAAAGCTGGATTTGGCAAAATGCCTACTCAGCAAGTATAGCACATCCCCTTGTTTGGTACTGAGATAATTCAAAACGTGTGGTTACCAAAGGTCAATATCTTATCATCAACCAGATCCATCTATTTGTGTTCAATCCATCTTTTCCCTCATGATGAGAAGTGTTCAAGATCAAATTGTGACAATTGTGGAGAAGAAACTAGAAAATTTTTCTTCCAATTGGAATGGAAATGACAGCTTTTCCTACTGCTGCAGTCCCTTCTCAAGTAATTATCAGTTTTGTTGAAGTTCATTTTTTTCTCAAGCACAAGTGCTGCATCTATTTTCAACTTAAAGGGCCATATTTTCTTTCTCCATCTGTTTTAATATATGTTTTAATTATGCTTTAGCTTAACTTAGTTTAGAGTTTATATGAATTTGAGGTTCCTATATGTTGTTAGTGCAGGGAGGAAATAGCTCCACTTCACAGCTTTATTTGGTGAATGAAGTTTTGATACTCCATTTTCTTTTTTCGCCAAACTCGTATTAGATCCCATGGGGGACAGCGGAAACAGCCCAACATGTGACAGTGATCGCAGCTAGGAAACATGGAGGGAATCTCATGGGGTCTCAGTTTTGAAATTGGGTGGATTAAAAACTGAAGTTCAACTCTTCATTTGGCGTGAACTTCATGCTATTGGGAGCGGTTGGACCACTCAACCAGCAACTACATCGGCTGCTCTGGTACACACTCTTGGGATGGATGAGAACAGCATGGTTAATTGAGTTTGAAGATTGATATTCCGCAATTTAATGTTCACCCACAGATCGAAGGCTACCTTGATTGGGAACATTTAGTAGAGTTCCATTGGATAAAAAAGTTAGGTATGGTGCATGGAAATTGAAGGGTTGCGCAAAGGCATGCTGGCAATAGCCAGTCCAATCTATCAGGAGAGAAGGCCAGCAACCTGTCAGGAACTGGGCTAAAATGAAGCAACTTATGTTCGGGCATTTTTTGTCGTCTGATGATGAGAACTTATTATATGTCCAGCACTAGCATTGCAGATAAGGGTCATGAATATTTAGTGCATATACTGAGGAGCTTTATCTCTTGAACATTCATAATGATCTCAATGAATCGAACCATCAGATCGTAGCTCTCGCCGTATTGGAGGACTCAAAGAGTCAATACAGAATAAGTTGGAGATGAATGCCCATTTTAATACAATATACTTCCATAATCTTCTTTCAAATTAGAATCAATCTAAACTTCAATCACAGATTTACAATAAGTCAATATGCCCTAAGTTAATTGTGGGAGAGCAAAATAAGAAGGAAATTATTCTCCATAATTTTAATAATCTCCCATTTCAAGATATATCTGTGGATGTACATGTTTAGTGGTCTATATTTGTGCTTCTATCTGCATGACCCTTCAATATTTTTATTTGTGGAGGTTAGCTAAGGCTTTGTTAATCCTCATCTTTTCTACAAGTGCTATCTTTGTAACATAGGTAGTTAATTCTCCAATAATTTTTACAAGTTGCAGGGCATCATCTTCCAATGTCTATGTAGTAGGACTTGAGTTTTTTGTGTTTTGTTAAAATGTTTTTTCTTAATGATTTGTGTTTTGGTTATCATAAAAGAGTCCGCTTAGATTTGATTCAATGTATCCTCCAATTTTAAGTCTGTTTTTTTAAAGATCATGGAATAGTTAAGTATACCATCAAGATAGTGCAATACATTGCCATATGCGATTTATAAAGCTTTCAATCCAATCCTTCAAAGAAGTGTTATTTTAAGTGTGGAAAATTGATGCAACATTGACATATAAAATTATGAAAGGTAGTTAATATTGAAAGGAAATTCTAAATTTGAATAGATGGCATCCTCTTTAAGGCCATGCCGGGGCTCAATTTTAATATAACCATTGTAGTTCTATTTTCATGGTTGCATTTTTATTTTCAAGAATATTGCCATATGCGATTGGGCTAAGCACAGGTGATGTCATTTTCTTTTCATGTAAAGGTATGGACCGTGAAAAATTATTAAACATGTATGAAGAATATTGAAGTGATGCTTTTATCTCAGGCAATTGATTAATGTACACGTGTGAAATAAGAAGTGGCGTTTCCAACTCCAATTGTTTCTTGCCTTAGAGCATGAATTTGCCAAAGATCATCCCCCTTTGGACTCATGAAGCTATTGGCCACTCCTTGCTGTCTCTCCTTGTATTCCTTGTGGAATGAATATTGTAAATCAAGGCTATATTGAACCAAAATTTAAAATGTTTATTTTATTTTGTAATTTATTCTGTTGGCTTGTACCTTAATTTTTTTTTTTATTTTGTAATTTATTCTGTTGGCTTGTACCTTGACATTGGCTTGGTGATGTTATCCACCCAATTATTTTTTGTGAGAGCTGATTTTTTATCCTTTTTAAACCTTTTTTTTCTGTTATTCTCCTCTTCTATTCCCTTCACCCGGAAGCATCATGCTTTGGAAATACCATAGAGTATTATAATTGTTTTATTTTGTTTAATTGATCTCTCGATTAGAATGATTAGGTGGATGAGTGTTTCTACACTTAGAGACAAAATGAGAAATGAATATATCCGTGATAGGGTTGGTGTAGCTCTAATGGCGGGCAAAATTAGAGAGAGTCGTCTTAGATGGTTTGGTCACATTAAGCGTCGAACATCTGATGATCCGATTAGGAGAGTAAATGTTTTAGATTCGACTTATGTTAAGAAATCCAGAAGCAAACCTAAGAAGGCTTGGGTTTATTATATAAAATTGATCTTAATTTATTAGAACTAAATGAAAATATGACACTGAATAGGACGCGATGGAGAAAAATGATTCTTGTAGCCGACCCCACGTAGTGGGATAAGGCTTTGTGTTGTTGTTGTTGTTGTTGTTGTTGTTGATGATGATGTCTCAATGAGGATAAGTAAATGTCAAAAAGTAACTTTTCCATTTTGAGAAGAATAACAACATCAAGTTGCACAATGACTTGGCTTCATTCTAAGATTAGAAAAGAGGTAACCAAGATTCAACTTTGATTATCATATTAGGAATATGGTGATTCAATCTTCTAATTAAATTAATCTTGCTGCTTAAGTGAGGGGTGCATCAATCATTGAAGACACCCATATGTCCTCTAGGCCAATATAACATTACTGACCACAAAATGCCCATAATTTGTAACAGTCAAACCAACTTTCTGCGTTGTATCAAAGCTGAAATGACATAACCACGGTCACCCTAGGCATTTAGAATGATGATCAGTTTTAGATCAAGGTTTGAAGTAAAAATTGAGAATTGGTTGGATCCGATTTATGTCTCAATTTTTAGCTCAAACCTAGGTCTAATACAGCTATCAATTAATCATATGTAATACTAATCTCAAAGCAAATCCATTGATTTTCATGTCTATTCTAATATAATTTGTACATAATTTTTTTTTCATTTATTTTAGGAAAATTCACACCATACCAATCAATTCTTATGTATTTACATATCTAACAGTTCAACTTCAATTTTTATACATATCACCTTGCATATACATGAAAATGTGTATTTCACTTATTAAAAGTTAAAATGGTCGTGTTTTTTATGTGCTATGAAGGATTCGGATGTCATAAATGTAGAAAGTAAAGTTTGGGTGTTAGATATTTAAATACATAAGAATTGGTTGGTTCGTATGTAAATGCCGAGTTATTTTAGCATAGAACATACATGCAAATATGTTTTAAAGTAGTAAAGTGATTCAGTAGGTAGATAATGCAAATATGTTTTATAGAGAACATTTCAAAAAAAATTTCTCAAGCACAATTTATAATGTGGATCATTAAAAATATATATTTACAAAATGGGCAGTGTCACTGATAAAAAGATTCAACTTTTTTTTTTTTTTTTTTTTGATGAAGCATGAACATCGATGTACTTTAGAAATAGATGCTTTAATAAATAATTAAGATTTATCTATACTCAATCATTAACAAATGTATGATTTAGTGGAATGTGATGGTGAGACTAACCAAATGATATGAAAAGTAAATCGGCTCGAGTACACCATGAGCTCAGATCATATATTTAAAGCATAAGATTCTCATTTTTAGGTCGCTGCCATTGTTGGACTATCACCGCTCAGTTGCCAAATTTGTTTGCTCGCTGCTACTAAACCCCCATCCTCTCATTATTGCCACTATCAAACCGCCATGCTACCATATCGTCGTCATCAGCAAACAACCATTTCTCGGTCGTAGCCATCGTTGTCGAACAACCATCTCCTGGTCACTGCCATTGCTAGACCACAGTCGTTATTGAACTACCACTACAATTTTCGGACTATTGTTACCCAATAGCCACCATTATTGGACCACAATCATTATTGAATAGCTGCCACCCGGCGGCCATGATCGCCTAGCTGTTATCCTAGCTCAACTACCATCTCCCAACCGCCGCTAGATCATCATCATATTCTCTACCAGTGCCAGATCACCATTGTACGATTGCCTTCACCATCTTTTAGTCGTCATAATCATTGGCAGATTGCAACTATCGTTGATGGATCCTCGTCAACTACCCTGAGATCTCTATCACTCGACTCCCAACATTGGTCCTTCACTATCCTTTGCTTCTACTTCTCCAATATATTCTATTTTTATTTCTCCTCTAATTACAATCAGACCCCCATTAGGGGTATAAATGACCCAAGTAGATTCATGAGTTGCCTCGAGATCGATTTGTTAAGTGGCTCGTGAATTGAGCACGGCGAGCTAACAATCCAAGCTCAAACTAGGCCTGACTCAACATGGTAGTTCGTGAGCCGATCCATTTAAAAATAAATTAATATAAAATTTACTCAAAATATATTAAATTTTAAAACTTTGACTTTAAATTATTAGAAAATATTTAAAAACTTGATATTTAATATTTTATAATAAGTGTCTTATTATGATTTATCTCTTAATTGTTCATTCTATTTGTCATTTTATTATAACAATAGTTTAAATTAATAAGATTTTCTTTGTTTTATAGTGAACAAGTCAGCTCGAACTCAAATTTAAACTCGAACTTGATTAATTAATCAAGCTCAAGCTAAGGTTAGCTCGAGCTCAACTCAACTCACTTATACGCCTAATCCTCATTATTGTAATATTGTCTTCTCTTACTCATTAGGGGTGTAAAATTATTTCAACTGGACTAGCCCAACTAATTTTTCCCCCAAAATCTTTGCTCGACTCTTATACGTTTATTTCATATGTATGTGTGTGAAATATTCATGCAATGTTAAGACAATAAACATCTATACTCGATCAAAGTGAATTTCTCCGCACCCAACAATAATTTATTCCTTTAATTTCAGTTAGATGAGCATGATATACATTTAATAAATGAGTATAATCAATAAACAAGAGTATATTATTCTTACTTATATTGACAAAATAGATTATAATATCGAATAATTTCTTAGAAATTATCTATTCTGATGATACATGTACATTTGCACAAAATGAACAAGTAAATCATTTTCTTATGCACAGCTTGATCCAAAAAATTCATTACCAGTCTTTTAATGGAGAGTTTAATAGGTTTAGCGTTTTGATTATGAATGATAATCGACATTTATGGTGAGTTTAATAGGTGAAGAATTGTGATTATGAAAGATAATAGGCTAATTATTTTATTCGCAGCTTAATGCACTGCTAATGACTACGAAAAAAAAACATATGCAAATTATTTGATTTATTAATTAATCGTAATAAATTAGAAAAATTGCTATTGCGAGTTCATGCAAGAGAAAATGAGTACAACTTAATAAATTTGTTAAGAGCTCAAAGAGTATAAAAATAAATAGTGATAAATCAAGAAACTAACTTTTATTGTGTTTAGGTCTCTTGGAGATGTAGGATTGGGATCACGTTGTAGGGTCTCATATTAATTCAATTATTATTACTGGCTCTTTTTTTTTTTTAAGTTTTTTGGATAGTCATTGGAGATTGTTAAAACGCCACGTTTTTTGGATAGTCATTGGAGATTGTTAAAACGCCAAGAAAAAAATAAATAAATACAAATAGAAGCACATGCTCTTTTTTTTATTTTATTTAACTTAGGATTTATATTTAATGTGTGGGAAGATCTACGGCGATAAAGTAATAAATTAGCATATATGCATAGTAGCAGAACTAATACATGCACACAAAAAGTGCCACGAGTAGAAGCCACAATTTTCACGTCGAAAACTCTGGAAAGGAAAAACTCTTGGGGCCTAGTCGAAGTAATCCCACCATGTACTTACGAGTACAACTTCTCCTGAGTTAGGGAATGTCGAATTGCAAAGTTTATGTACAACAACATTTCAACAAAATTAGTTGTAATGGGTCATAAAGGTTGTAGTTGATTGCTATGAAGATAGTAATCGTAAATATGTTGTAGACTGTGGTTGTAGTGCCAACTTGTCATAGAGGTTGTAGTTGAATGTCGTTGCAGTAGTTGAACATGCAGGCTGTAAATGATTGCTTTAAAAGTGTGCGCTTT